CTGATTTCACCAAACACTTAAACTGCCGTTGAGCCTTGCTCTAACTGCAGTTAGCTCTTAACTGACGAAATCGGATTTCACCACTTTCCGTTAGAGCTAGTTTAGACTAAACCGTCGTTAGATAATTAACTGCCCAATTTTGACCCAATTTGTTAATGATTTAACTAAGACGAAATTAATTTTATTACTAGATATGAATTATCAAAACGCTTTGCCTTTTTCTTTAGGTTATCCCACAAGGTTTTTTAGTAAAGATGTATTTCTTTAGGTATGTGATCAGCCATTCTTTTATCCCGGCTGAAAAAAGTGTTTTTCTACCTACATTATCAAATTCCTTTTTTTCTTTGCTTGGAAAAATAGGCTCCCTTTTCCTTTTCCCGGTTTTGTTTCCCGGTTTTGAGTAACCCTTACCCTACAGTCAAACAATTAATTTAGTTCAGTCAGACGTAATTAAGGACAATAATTAAACCTAAATTGTTGTTATTCTGCTAGTATTTACAGAAAATAATTATTTTTATGATATCTTTATTATGACTCGTTCTAGTTACTCAAGTTGCCTCAAGTTTTCTCACTATTTCAAATGTAAGTTACTGTAAAAAGTTTGATTTTGAGTCTTGACTCAACAGCACAACTCAATCCTCTGTTCCTAAATTGAACCTGTTTTATCAATATTGCTTTGCCTTTATTTACTCATGTTAATTGTTTAGCTATTCGTTCTTGTTTTCTGTTGTTATTTTGTTCTTGTTGCTCAGAATCTATTTTATACTTGTAATCTTGCTCTCTCCAGTTTTGTTTTCACTACGTCATAAACCCTGATTTATTTTCTAGGTTATGTTTATTTATTGTTCCCATAACAGCCTGGTATCATGACAGTTTAAGCCCACCGCCACCTGGATTTTACTCTAAACTCTCGTTTATAAAACCAGCGTTAGTATTGACGTGTTTTCGTTGGTGAAGCCAGATTTCCTTAACTGTGGTGGAAATCATCAGGTAGTTTTAACAGAAGATTAACTAAACCATCGTTATCGTGAATTTGGTGAAATCGGGCCTTAATCTCTTGCATATACATCCCACGTACTGCATGTGCAATTTAAGCATATTAATAGTGATGTGGACAATCGAGTATTTACTCTAAAATGTACTTAATACTGATTGTACTCAAGTCAGTGCAATCTTTGACTACTGATAAAACTAGACAATCCATCCCCATGTTAAAGGTATCACCAGTTTTTTTTTAGTTTTTTTTATCAAAATTGTAGTTTATGTAAGCCACCAAACAGATTGTGCTGATGTGAATTACTGATTTTTGTTGAATACACAAACTGTTTTACCAAGTCATATTGATGGAAAGACCAACTATAGCAACTGGCCCTATCAAATTGGTCAGCAACAAATAAATAAGGTAAACAATATAATTTTAGACACTAGCACATTCTGTGACTGACTCACAGAACTATGTTCTTTATTGATGAAAATTTGACGACAGCTGGTGCAAATAAATGGAATGCCTACTTAACTATCCTTTGGTAATGGTACAATACTCTACTCCTGTAGCAGCGTTTTTAACTCCTAGTAACTTAGAAAACAATTCTGACTTAACTTATGTCCTTACCTACTCGGCATATACCACTTTTTACTCATAGTGGTGACGCACAGAATAGTTCAAACTTGAGTCCATATGTACTCGGCATTTAGTGTTGTTGGCTAGTTGTAGAAATTCTGAAAATTACCCCCAAATACTTAAACAAACATGTAACTGCTGAAAAAAGAAGTTCCTAGCGACTGATTGATAAACTAACAGCTGAGTCCAGTACACGAGTACTTAGGATAAGTATCGAGTTGACTTGATACCTAACAAGTAAGTCTGCTCGTTGCTCACTACTGTAGAATATCTCTAGATTTGATGTGCTACCCGAACTAACATGATGTTCTTCCAGGTTTGGCAAATGGCTGAGAACATCTACAACGACGAAGAACCTGAGACTCCGGCGTCAGAACTAGAAGCCGGGGCATCATAAGTATCTAGCTGTACTCTCTGTGTTAACTTTATACCTAAGTATTTCTTCGTATAATATAATTCAATAAATACCTTTGTCAGTAATTGAAAACATTTTATTTTCCTTTTGTCTACTGTGAGTGTGACTGATACAGTACGCAATATTATTTAAAGTTGAATAATATTTTTGAGTGTAAATGAATTGTGTAAAAAAAATTTGTTTATTGTTTTTAGCGAATTTCCCTATAGGGAAGTATCTATTACCGTAGGTCTCATGGTAAGACCTAAGCCCGGGACCGATTTACTTTTTCATTTTGATGTCCCCAGAGGCCAAAAACACCATTCGTTCAAATTTTAAGGTGAGTGAGCGTAGCGAACGAGCTCCAACCCAAAGGTGAGTGAGCGTAGCGAACGAACTTCAACCAGGACGTGATTGAGCGATGCGAACGAGATCATCTTGAAAATTAAACGTAACGGTACTTTCTTTCCATCGGTCTGTCTTAGGGGAAACCTATAACTTAGGCGATACGAAGTTCGCCGGGTCAGCTAGTATATATATATATGTGTGTCCATCCGCACGATAACTTGAGTAATTTTTGTCCGATTTTGATAAAATTTGGTTTGAAGGTGTAAGGCAGGATAAACTTGAATGAGTTCGCGAACCAGCATGATCGGACTATGGGAACGGGGGTTTATGGGGGGTTTTATGGGGTAAAAATAGGTTTTTCCCATTTTTGACCCTAAAAACACAAGATTTTACAATTTCTTTTTAAACCATTTTGTAGAGCTTAAAAAAAACAAATAATTTAGTATATTGAAGCGTTATTATCCGCCTAATTGTCACGGAGAAAATTCAAAAAAATTGTAATTTTAAAATTCCCATGTTATTTTTATGGAGAATAAGTCAACTGTTGTAGTTTGCTTGTTTATGAACATATTTTGATAAAATTTGGAAAATACATTAATTTCTTACTAAACCACAGTACCTTTTAATATTTTACATTAAAAAAAACTTTTTTACCCTCCCTGTTGCAGCAAACCTAAGTACTCATTAAACTAATTCTGTTTAAATAGGGAATAAATGTGATATTTTTAAGGAGACAATTTAGTTTAAATCTAATCAGGCAGATGGAAATTCGCTAAGTCTGCAGGTTTGCTGCGGCGGGGGTATTGTTATAACGTTTTGAAAAGGGTCAAAGCTTGCCAACACATAAGCATAAAGAAGTAACAGACTTTATTTTAGATAAGGATTTTCATTTTAGGAAGTATTCATTTTAGTAGAAGGTTTAAGCTTTTACGCCACACTACACTGTTTTGACGAGCTTCCCAAGGAAGGATTTAGTCTAGAAAACAGCTTTTTGCCGTCAGCTTAATCAAATAGGGTTTCATTACGTACTACTCTACTGTAATGAGTTTTACCTGACACCAATCAGCTGATTATATACTGTATTTGGCAATGAGTGAGAGTGGTTAGTTTATAAACAAAAAAATAACCTCTCTTAGAGGTTATGACTAGTGATTGTTAGTCCTTAAGTATGTGGTAATATATAAGGATTGGTACGGATTTAGTAGTATGGAGTTAAATATTGTACGTCACTCGTCCGGTAAACACCTATTTTCAGGGCTAGTAACGTAATATACTATTACATTAGGGATGTTTAAATAGCTTGACATTCTGGCCAGAGAAAATGCCCCATTTTCTGCTGAAAAAAACGGATGTTGTTGATTTACACAATAACAGTTCGTCCTGTCGATGTTACCTGTAAACCACACAGGGAACATTGACATTTGTTGATTCTGATGTTCCGGAGGCTGACCTGTCATGTATTTTATTGCCTGCTAACAAAGTTTTGTTTATGTAAGATTTATTTTTAGTCCTATGTACCCATTTAATACCTTAAATTGCAAGTAAAATTTAAAATTAATGTTAATTTTATTCATGCCATTGGTGTTTTTTTATAAAAGAACAGTCCAAACCCTAATTTTGTTACCAACTGACATCAACCTTTTGTTAATCATTAATTCGGTACCCTAATGACAAATGGCACCTGGATCGGTTCCAGAAACGATCTTGCTTGGAACCAATGTTTTAGTGTTGTGATGATATTGGCAAAATATCATCACTTAACTTCAAATCACTTAACTTCATCATCAAATAACTTCTTAAACTTGCACTTTATCGTAACATTTTTACATTTTGATAATTTTTTTTTTTTTTTTTTTTGCTACACAGCTGCTTATGTTAAACCAAAGAGGGTACATATCATACATTTTTGTGTACACAGTTTACTTTTGTTTCTTGAAAGTAGTTGTGTTCGTTGAAAGTTAGCTTTTATCAATCACTTTGAATGTTGTAGTTAGGTCGTATTTTTTACTAACTACACCATGACACTTGGAATTATCTTTCACACATATTTGAGTTAAAATATGCATCCCTGGTGGTATTCCCATCTCAAAGATTGGGACTTGCTATTTATTTCCTTTTGTTTCACTGCCTATATTTTTCAACCAAAATAGCTTGTTTTGTCATATTTACTGGTACTATTTACTATGTTAGATTGAAATTTAAAACGTAAATAGTTGTAGTGTAAATTTTAGTGTTATAATAAGTTGTAGCAAAAATTTTATGGCGGGAGTCTAGACATAACTCTCTCTTGATCACGTTGTGTCCCGTATGCCTACCGTTTCAGTATTTTTTAGCCCTAAAGGTTACTATTTATGTACTTAGGTATGTATTTGTGTTTTGTTTATTTATTTATTATCAATTTACGACCATCAAATGAAGCGAGAGACATCTTTAACAGCCTGAAGATGACTCCTATGTGAGTTGAAACCGGTAGCAACTCAGCTACAAACAGGATCGCATAAATGCAGGTATTTAAACCAATTTATAGTAGGCCTATTTAAATGTGAAATTCGAGTACGAGGCTAAAATTCATTATAATGAAGTAACATTTTAGCGTAAGTAGTTGTAGTTTTAGTTCAACTACAACGGGAATCATAATGATTGTGTCTAAGCATTTTTATTTATTCAAAACAATACTGAAAATTACAAGAGTATAATAAAAGGTTATAAATAATAAGCTAAAAAATATCAATAAGGTATACAAGTTGAATTGCGAGCATAGTAACAGGATAGTTTGGTTTAAATTACATGTTAACATTTGGTATTTACAAGTATTAAGTACATCTCGTGTTACTAATCAAAGTGGATGCTTTATAAGAAAGCTTTGTTTATCATGTGCTTTCTTTACAGTATTTTTCCAAAAACAATTCCCATTGCAATTCCAGCGAAGAAAGAAGCCATAAACACGTGGATCTCGTGGAAAACAATGTCGTCCTCGTTATTTGTTACTTTGTTGAACCACATTTTTGCTTTCCTTTCCTTCTTCTTCAGCAATGACTCGGCTTTGTCTAGTTTGCGATCCACAAACTTCTCAACCTGAAAGCAAGCATGTGATAGTAACTGTTACTATAGAATTAATAGGTCTCCAAAATAAGATTTTATGAAAAAGATTTTGTATGTCAAGTAATAATCATTTAGTTTTTAGGTAAAAGTGCAAATTAACTTTTTTTTATTGAAACAACTTGCTAAATGAATTTTATATTTGTAAAAGATTAGTCGAGGTGAAACCCAGAAATTTCGGATCTCGGAACTGAAACTTCAACAACACAAAACTCTTTTACTTCCCTGCTTAAAATTAAGGTCTTTACAAACACAACCACTGATACAAAAAAAAGTGAATATAATTTTCGCCAAATACTGATGGTTTATAAAGAGTGTTGCCGGCAAATGACAAATCATGGAATATTTTTGGGTATTCTCCAAAAAAATAAAAGTTAAAAGCCGTGGTGGGTAAATTAAAAGACAGGATCAATCAAAATTGTCAGGACCTCTCAAATTAAATTTAATGGAAAATCTGCTATTTATTCAGGCAACGTTGTTTTTTTTTGTTTAGGAACCTGTAAAACAAACTTAGTGGCCTTAATCAAAAAAACTCAAATTTTATTAAAACCTATATAAATTGTGTAACAAAAAAATCAATCTAAATAGATTCTTGAAACAGTCTAATCAGACCATAATACATTTTTCTTACAGGGAGGGAGGTTGGTCCCAGAATATAAGTTTTTGAGTTTCTTGCCCAAATTATTTTTTAAAAGCTTTAAACTAGACAAATTAATTAATCAGCTTAAAAGGAGTAATGATTTAGAAGGCATGTCAAAAATGTATTATGGTTACCAAGAAAGGACCTAAAGTAGTATGTTAAATGTGTCATACAATGAAATGTTATTCTTACAGTGAAAAATTATTATAGTTAGGCCGCTTAGATAGCGACCTGTGCGCTAATGCTAACCAATGCTATAGAGCACTAGAGGATGTAGCTATCCAAGCGGCCGATCTATAGTTGTAGTTGTAGATTGCTTCTTTGGGGATATCTTCATGAAATTTGGTCAATTTATTTATTTCATTGTACATGTTTATAAAATTCATTCACCTTTGGGTCTGGTGATTGATTATTGGAGAGTCCAGCAGAAATCGATCAGCATTATTTAAACCATCTTTTATATATTTACTGTCTTGTTAAAACAGTATAGAAATAGTTCTTCCAACTACATATTTGTTACATTTAACTTCTTATAGTCTTATTAAGTGTATGGTGGTTACCATCCACATTTAATCATACGATAATATGGCCAAGTAACAAGCTGTCGCTTGCAAGAGGAAGGGCGTAAGTACATCAGATATTATATGCCCTTACGATCATTTGTCCTACAAGTGTCGATGTGTTAGGTACCGATTCTATTTTCAGAATTGTTTTTTCAAACAATTCTGAAAATACTAACAAAGTCAACTCTTTCTAATCAAGATATTGCTCCTTTATTTTATCAGGTGGTAGAGTCGAGGTAATCTATCTAGTATTGCTCTTAAAGTCCACTAAAACTTGTTGTATGTATTCAATCATTGACTATTTTATACTTTCTAGAACTAGACATCCCATCCCCATGTTTGGTATACACAGAAACATCATCTTTTGAACCGGAAGTCAATCTGACAGGACGACTTAGTGTAAGCCATCTTTATGTCACATCAACTACCTCAGTAGGTAATGTAACAAAACTAACTAGAAAGAATTTCAGACACCAGCACTCTGTGACTGGCTCATTCAACCATGTCTTACACTTGTAACTTGTAATATAAATTGGCAACAGCTGGTCCAAACAGATGTTTTTTTATCCAAAGTCAATGGTTTCAGTCACTTGACTGGTCTAGAACAATAAATTCAAACCCTTTATAGAAGCGGAGAATAGTCAGACTGGAATTTTGCCGCCGAAATGAGCTTCACTCGGCCGCCGCTATGATCCTCGCACGGCAGCTGCACTGCTGCACTACCCTACCACTCACTCTCTCTCTCTAAGCCAATTCTTTGTCTCACTCTCGCACTCACTACTCAGTCAGCTGACTTGGCCGCGCGCTTGCGGTAGTCTACCTTGGGGCCGACGTGGGAACTATCCAAAATTCAAATATTTCCAGACTGAATTTTTGACAATGGCATTGCCCTTCTTAAAGGATTTGTATTCATTGTTTTGTATTCATTGACTCTCCCCAGTTGAACTCCTTTGCATTGCACCAACTCCTGCAGTGAGAAGGAGGTTTTAAAAAGCCTCTTTACAGAGGAGCTGCATGCGGCCTACTGCTGCTGATGGGTCAGAATTAATGGGTTTTTTTTAATAAATTGTTCTGAGCTGATTCAGTTACTGTACCACAACCACAGACAAGTATAAGTCTCTGTACCACAAGTTAAGAACAGCAATTCTATAGGGTCTCCACATTCACCAGAGTAGGTCAAATTTATTTTAGGTTCAAATCCAAACAATAAAAATTTGTATCTCTTTTTCAATAACAAAAGAACATTTTTAAATATTTTACTTAAATAAATTTTATTAAAACAGCTAACGTTGCCTCAAGCAAAATTTTGTGTATAGATTAAGTATAGACAAGGATTATTTCTACCTCAAACTCTCTCAAATATACTAAATTAAGGGATGTTACAGTAACTAATGTATTTCATTATGACGGTCGTCTGTATATTGTAATTTTCCAATAAGCTGACATCGGGATGGAGCAAGCTAGTTCTAATCTACACTGGCACCAGATACTGCACTTCCCTCACCAATATTTTAGTTGGTCTCCAGCTCTATTGCTCAGAATTGTTGTAGTAGCTGATGGCCAAGGAAAAGCCACAGGTTCTCAATGCATAAATTAATTATGTTCTTTGTTAACTTTGTGTTAAATGGGGTCAAATCCTACTGAAATCTACCATTTGTGGACAATGTGTATGGAGAAAAATGCTTTAGTGAATTAGGTTACAAACAATCCTCATAATTTAGCTACCTCAAACAATAACACAAAACATACACTTCTGAAACAAGATGCCAACTCTTTCCTCTCCTTAAGTCCTTCCATTAATTTAATTCAAGTATAATCAAATGGGGAAAATAAAATAACTATGGTACAATAACTTTTTTATTGATAAACCTAACAATACAAAAAATACAAATTATGTCGAATGTTAGTAAAAAAAGTTATACATAAAGTTAATAATACTAAAGTTGGATCCGAAAAGAACTTGAATGTTAGCTAGAGAAGACAAAAAAATAGATCCACTAAGAGATATCTCCAGGTTTGTCGACAGAAAACGATAAGCACTTGACACTTCAAGAACAAGCGACGCCAATAAGCACACCACCTGTGAAGCTAGCAGAGAAGTAAGAATTGCTTTTGAAAAATTCTGTCACCTGCAACAAGTAATGTAACGTAAGAATAACAAAGTATGTCTTTGTCAGGAATTAAAACCATCAATACACTAAGCAATTAAACTTAAAAATCAGTAACCAAAATAAACGAATTAAGAGTTATTTGAACGGCTTTGACGCTAATGTATTTCTGAAATATATTACAAATAAAGATGTTTGTCTATTGCCTGTTGTTACACACAATCTAATTAACACAAATTAATTAAAACTACTTTCATATGGGGTTGCAGACAATTTCTAAGAATTAAACTGTTGTAACCCGATTACAATGGTCAACGTTAAACAATAAAACAAATACAACCACTACCGGTAACATTTCAATTTCTATAAAAATAATGAGCTTAAAAAAAGGAAAAAATCTGTTGCGAATAACACTATCCTGTCCAAACACCACAAGAAAAGTTGTCTCTTTTTTAACACTAGAATTCACTATCTTCATTCAATCTTGATCACGATGATGATGGTCTTGTTGGTTGCCGGTGCTTTCTTGGGGCAAAAGATGGTAGGAAAACGCATAAACTACGACACATTGAAGGAATATTTTCACACATTCACAATTAAAATAACAGTTAGTACTCTTATCAGAACCATTTGTGGTCAAGAAATTTGTTCACATGTCTGTATGATAGGTACACCACATTGTCCACATACCCAAAAGCAAAATAAAAACTTCAACTAATCACACCCATATTTCGCCCTGTACTTGATCGATATACTGTTTTAATAAAAAAACGTAAATCAAACAGCCAATAAAATGCTGATGTCGCTTCACAAACAACAAGGCTTATATGTTACCGTCGCCTTATGAATATGAATACACTACCAGAATACACTTCCACAGAATACACTACACTTCCGAAAAACATCAGAAGTTTAATAAGGGGTACAAACTAGATACACAATAAATCTTATAAGGCCTATCAGCGCCAAGGCCACTGTAGCCTTGTATCAGCGCATTTTTTCTCCGATCGACACAGTTATTTAATCCAACGTTGAGGTTTGGAAAACGTGACAAATGACCAAAATGCTTAACTATATTTTAATACAGCTAGGTCTCCATGACAGCAAATATCAATGAGCAATTGTCAAAGCTACTGTTTAAAGTTAAGGTTGCCAAGAAAAGTAACGAAGCAAGTTTAATCTTTGATCACTTTCATAGACAGCCCGCTGAATTTGTATTCCAGGATTAGTTTTGCCAACAATGTTATTTGGAGGCTTCTGATTGGCTGAGGGAACACCATTACCGCAACGATACGGTTTGATGCCATCGGCCTCGGTGGTATAGTGGATAAAGTGCCGGGCTGATAAATTGAAGGAGCCGGGTTCAAATCTCAACCATGGCACTATTTTTTTTTGTCTTGGATTTTTTCATCATCAGCAAGTTTGGTTGGTTTGGTTAGGTTATGACAGTTTAATTTCATAATAAAAATTATAAAATTGAATTTGAGGCATTTATAGTTTTATTTTATGAACAGAACTATTTTTTTTTTCGATTACTTAAACCTTCATTCGATTTTTCATTGTCAGCAAGTCTGGTTAGTTTGGTTGGGTTATGACAGTTTAATTTTATAATTAAAAAATTATAAAATTGAATTTGAGGCATTTATAATTCCACTTTATGAAGAGAACTATTTTTTCGATTAATAAACCTTCATTTGGTTTTTTCATTATCAGCACGTTTGGTTGGTTTGGTTAGGTTAGGTTATGGCAGTTTAATTTCATAATAAAAATTATAAAATTGAATTTGAGGCAATTATAATTTTATTTTATGAACAAAACTAATTTTTCAATTAGTAAACCTTCATTATAGTCAATCAGAAGCCTCCAAAAGACACTGTTGGCAAAACTAATCCTGAAAAACAAATTGTGCAGACGGACCGACGGTTAAATGACACTTGTTACGTACTTGCTACATAGAAAGTTAAAATGGTTAGTTTAGTCGTTTTCGTTTAGTCATTGATTATAAGCTATGCGTTTAGTCATAGGTTTAATCAATGGTTGTAATCCGCTAATTTAGCCTATATTCGTATTGATTTTGTCATTTTTTTAAGTTACGTTTGCTATTCAAGTACAATATAATGAGTAATTACATAATTTACAATAATTCATAAATTAATCGATAATTTTAAAACAACTTATATATGTCATTTGTAAAAACAATGTGTGTACATAATTGACTGTTTTAAGCAGTTGGTAGTACATCTTTTTACTTGCCAACTCGGCTGTCTGCAGTCAGCTGAGAGCAGAAGCAAAGCAACCGGCCCTTAGCAGACGCGGAACACGGAACTGACTGATTGACTTTACCGTTACCGTATCGAGTCAGAATTGCAATTAGGCCTAATTAATTATTTGCAACGTCGATTTCCCTTCAAAAACCTAGGAGTTGATTATGATAGTTGCTATGGTGTTTTCGCATTGATACACATAACTAAATCTATAATCTGTGTGCGTTGGTAATTGAAAATTTTTATGAGACTGAATTTAGTGCATTCGTTTTGCAGATACATTTCAAGAATGGGAGACTCACTGAAGCCTCAAGTGGTTTTTGTTTTGGGCGGCCCAGGTGCAGGTAAAGGTACACAATGTTCCAATATTGTCAAGGAGTATGGATTTGTACATCTTTCAGCAGGCGATTTGCTACGTGAGGAAAGAAGTAAGCCTGGTACAAAGTATGGTGAGTTGATTGAGGAGCACATCAGGAATGGGTCAATAGTTCCTGTCGAAATTACTTGTAAATTAATTGAAATAGCGATGCAAAATTCGGGCAAACAAAAATTCTTGATAGACGGATTTCCAAGGAATAAGAATAACATGGAGGGTTGGAACAAGGAAATGGCAGAAAAGGTTGAACTCCTCTTTGTACTATTTTTCGATTGTTCGCAAGACACTTGTATCAAAAGGTGCTTGAAGCGAGGAGCCGAAGGAAGTGGAAGGTCTGATGATAATGAAGAAAGCCTCAAAAAGCGAATACAAACATTTGTGAATGATTCAATGCCTATTATTGAATACTACAAGGAACAAAACCTGGTCCGGCGTGTTGATGCTGGCAGAAGTGCTGAGGAAGTGTTTGATGAAGTTAAGGCTATATTTAAAGATGTTGCTTAGACAGAACAAGCTAGGAAAACACTGGATTTTGCATTTAATGCACCATTTATATTGAAGTTAACTTAGATAAGAATTTACGACACATTTAATAATTTCTTAGCTAGCCTAGGCCAGTAGAATTTCATACCAGAATCAAGGACTTAGGCTTCACTCTTAACAAGGCTTGTCACGCTATATTCAAGAAAACACTATAATCAATAGTTGTGATTAAATATATTAGGTAAGCTTGCTTTTCTATAGGTAGGTACCAGGAACGCTAAGTAGCTTAACTTATTTCATGATTTGAATTTCTATGTGGTACCGTACTGGTTTTGAATTTAGGCTAGTAGCCTAGATTATACTCTAGATGGGGATCATTGGTAAAATAACCATCCATGATATCATAGCCTACTTACTTATTTTATAGCCTTTGTTTGTTTAAACTTACACTGTTCCCAAGTTCTAAGTTGATCCATGTTTTACATGCTCACCTATTACCGTATAAACCTGTTTATAATAGGTGTAAGTAAAATAGAAATTCATTCCTGTCCGTTAAGTTAAACAAAAACTATCATATAAATATCGCTAGGTAGGTTTAGTTATCTTTTTCGGATTTCTTCATGTAGGCCTAAATTAAGAATAGGCTAAACTTAGTTTTATTTTTTTTTTTTTTTTTTACTTAGGCCTACTTAAGAGACATGTATGCCAAAGTTAGATTTTATTCATCCAAATTAAATTTCAGGAAGGTTTTAAAAAACAAATCTTGCTTATTTTCTACTTCCTAAATAAATAACACTGCTCATTGTTTTATTGTTTTAAAGGTGATAAGTTAGTCCTAACTGACATTGCTACTTTGAACAGTTCAGCTTTGTTTGAATTCATCATTCGGGGTCAATTTACTCTTTATTCATAAACATTTAATGCACAGCATGCTACATATTTTCTACAGCTAAATCAAACTAAGGCCTATACTATAGGACTACAGCTAATGAAAAAAGCAAAAACATTAGTATAGGTAATCAATAGAAAAGACCTTATAACCCAGGTATTACAGCAAGTAACTTACAAAGGATGGTAAGAGGCATTTTAATAAAACATTTTAAATTTATATTTTATAAACATTCAAACATAAATGTTTATTAAGATCAAATAGGCCTAAGTTGAAATACTCATTTTTTAGTTCAAAACGTACCATATAACACATATACGGTATACTCAGTTCTTTGTGTCAGAGGTTAATTGTAAGAAAGGACCATGAGGTCCTAAGTTTGCCTCAATAAAGAAGCATTTTCATTTCATTTTTATATAAAACACTGTTTGCGATTTGAGATAATCCATAGAAAACATCCTAGCCTAGTGAAAGCATTTTTTTCTATCTACGTCTCTGTGGATTATTTATAATTTGATTTTAACACTTGAGCGGGCGCTTGCGGAGTTTTCCTCTGCACTAGTAGTTTTTGTTAATATAAATATTCATAATGGGTGTCGGCAGTCGTGTCCGGCTCTACACTTAACGCACCTTATCCCGGGAATGCCCCTAAGCAATTTTTACCCCCGAATTCCTCCTCATTTTGTTGTCAGTTGCAATTCAGTGTAGCGGTGTCAGTTTGCGGAGGTTTACTCCGCGTGCGGGTAGTCCTTAGCGCAGAGTTTGTTTCCTCATGCGCTCTTGTCAAACTGTGTGTATATTTTATACATACGAAATTATAAACATGTTTAAATGTATTATTTCATTTATTATTATCAAATATATTTTGTTTGCATGTATATGTATTATTGTGGAACAAAACTCAGCACGCGCCCTCTCTCGTAACACCGACAGTGATACCTTTATACTAGAAAATTGCTCAATAACTTATGTTTATTTGAAATAATTACTCATATTAAGTTAAAAAAATAATTTTATTAACAAAGAAATTAGGTTTTTGGTTAGGTTATTCAACATTTAAGTTAGGCCTAATATAATATTTCGTTACAACAACAAGTAAAATGGGTAAAATTTGTGCTATTTAGTGTTGCGAAATAAAACTCCGCATGCACCCGCTCCTGTTTTACTGGTGACGTGCCTCCTCGAGGGTTAAGGTAACAGTAGGTTGGGCCTTAAGTACGGTAACAAATAAATTATAGGCTAATATTCAAATGTATTTAAGTTAATCTGTGTTGTGAACCTAGGTTTTATGACAAAGAACAAGAAGTTTTGACGACTAATTTGTATATTTTTTTTTTATTGAAATCTTAATTTTAAACTAAGCTTAATTTTCAATCTCAAACATAAATCCTTGTTTACTGTTAGCTAGTATTTTCAAACTCAAAAGTCTTAGTAAATGATTTTATAGTTTTTTTTATGAATAAAAAACCCAAGCAAAAAAATAAAATGCAGGTAATCAGGAACTTGAACTTTTAGACTTCAAAGTGATTTGAAATGCTACTGTCGAGTCAAACTGCTAACAAGTCTAGCAAAATTTACACACTAAACCATTATAGGCTATCTAAATTTGGATCTTTTTCATAAATACCTATGTTTATATTTACTTACTTTGTCCAGAATTTTCGGCCCCTTCTTGGAGGTGGATGCATCTTCGGTAATCTTTTCAACCTGGTCCTCAACATTTCTGTAAATGCGGTCCCAATTGATTTTTACGTAGCCCTTGTGGTTGGCCACTTGCAGAAGAATAATACTTCCTCCGACAGCCACTGCTGCCATTTTCCCCACTTTCATCATCAAGTATCCGGTCAGCCTAAAAAGATAACCTAGGATTGGGGCTGTGTGACAAACTCTAAACCCAAGGTATGACTCACAGTTAAATCTTACAAAATTCATTCCCTTTTAGTCTTCCATCAATGACTAACATTCCTAACCTTTGGTGTGCTATAATTTTGTTTGAACGCCAATGGTATTTTTAAGGAGATGAAAATTTTGTTTAAATGCCTACTGACAAACTGATGTGTAAATTACATCAATCTTTTAGTTTATTCGAGTTTTTAAAATGTTATGTTAACTTACCTGTAACCATAGATTAAATATTTCCTTAGTTAGTAAGTAACCTTGCGTTAAGGTTAGTCCATGCTGTAATACAAGTAAAGTAAAATTTCCCATGCTTCAAATCAACCTGATGTAACCTATAGTTTAAGCTGGTATTTGTAAAATGTGTTATTAATGATATTTAAAGACACAGGCTATTTTGGTTAATGTAATAATTTATTATTGACTTAAAAGGTTTAAGTAGATAGCCTACTACATAGGCCTACATTTTAAAATTATAAAAATTAAGTGATAAATGTCTGTCGCTTGGGATTGGGATACTAAATACTGTACAGTATTTATTATATTATTATATGAAAACCTTTTGACTAGGAAAACTAATTAAGATCCAATTTTAAAAACTGTCCCCTTGTAAAATCATGCCAATGACATAGATAAAACAGATTAGATCACCAGTAATATAGTCCACGATATACAAACAAGTAGGACTGGTAACTTGAATGGATGGCTTGTAAAAAGAATTATGATTGTAAAAGTTTATTGATGCTTAACTAAGTGGTTTGTTAATTATGTGTTAAGTTAATGAATTCAATTAAAAAAGTGGTTATAAGCACGATAAGAATGGTACAGATAAATGTGCTACTAAGGGGAGTTACAGTGATAGAAGAAGTTTACTTTCATTTACTGTGACATATTAGGTATACAAACAGTTTACTGTAGATTATGCTAACAGCTTCTGAGTATGTAAGTCTTTGGCATGACTGCAATTCCTAATGTAAAGTCATGCCAGGGTTTTTTCATTTTTTAATTGAAAGAACAAAAGAAGTATCCACATTGCAAAAAGATATATTCTCTGGATAGAATAGTTTCAATTAGAGGCTTCTTGTTCTTTTGTGCAAGATTGACTTACTATAACGTTTATATGTGTATAACAATTTTTCTTGTTACGTGTACCTATAACAATTTTTTTTTGTTAAGTACATATTTAAATCATTTATCTGTGTTTGTTTATTGAAGATATTATTAATTTACTAGTTTAAAATCATTTAAGTGAATGTCTAAAAAAGTATTTTGAGGGTTTAAAAAATTGTCTTTATTATACAATTGTGAATATTATTATATCTTTTATTATTTAATTTATACTTCTTGCATTTAGTAGACTAGATAACACTTGCATTGATAGTTGATATACGTATATAATACATATTTAAATACTCATAATGCTGTTAACTGTTATCATGTTAAATAGTATCATGTGTTATCATTGTCCAGGGTTATTTTTATGTATTGTAGATGCAATTTGGTAATTTATGGTGTGCCCTTTAGATCAAAATATTGTAGGCCAATATTATACTGTTTTAATTCAATATCTATGTAAAATAAATTTGTGATCAGAACAATTGTATTTTTCTTACCTTCCTAATTTCTTAAAATCTAAATAACGTTGGAAATTCACATTTAGAACTGCCTTAACAGCTGCTGAACTACAGAAACAATGTTTTATATGAAAAAAATAACATTTTAAAGCCACGGACAGGCAACTCTAAGTGAATGGATAAAATTTTATTGACTCTGGATTACCTTTGAAATGGAAAACTTAAACTTATCATACAACTAAACTAGCTTTTAATGCCTAGAACGAATAAAATAATGTTTAAGGTAGGACTCTATATGTGGCGGAGAGAATTAAATATAAGTTCAGAAAACATAGAAAGCTAATTTAATACTGAATATTAACTTATCAATAAAACTATTGCAATTGATATTAGGCTAATACTAGGTGGCGTTCGCAGAGGCATCCACAAAATTGAGCGGAGTCATCAAGGGTTCATATTATATTGTTTTTGTCATACTGCAGTAAAACAGTCGTTTTTAATGCAAGCGTTGCGGGGATCTAAGTAGCATTTTTAATAATAAGGGAGTAAAAATCGTTTTTAGCCTCTATAGAGTAAAAATCAGCTGTTGTCAACTCAGTTGTAAATTTCATTTGTAAACGATTGCATGTATCGAAAATATGTATCGATTTGAGCTTCGTAATCATTTTAACATATAGTCTACAGTCTCTTCCTGTAGCGTTTTAGCATTGCAGATACATTAATCCATTCCCACACTTAACACTGCTTACCTTTACTACTTTAATCACCACCCCAGGGTTCATATTATATTTTTTTTGTCATACTGCAGTAAAACAGTCGTTTTTAATGCAAGCGTTGCGGGGATCTAAGTATAGCATTTTTAATAATAAGGGAGTAAAAATCGTTTTTAGCCTCTATGGAGTAAAAATCAGCTGTTGTCAACTCAGTTGTAAATTTCGATTGTAAACGATTGCATGTATCGAAAATATGTATCGATTCGAGCTTCGTAATCATTTTAACATATAGTCTACAGTCTCTTCCTGTAGCATTTTAGCATTGCAGATACATTAATCCATTCCCACACTTAACACTGCTTACCTTTACTACTTTAATCACCACCCCAGGGTTCATATTATATTTTTTTTGTCATACTGCAGTAAAACAGTCGTTTTTAATGCAAGCGTTGCGGGGATCTAAGTATAGCATTTTTAATAATAAGGGAGTAAAAATCGTTTTTAGCCTCTATGGAGTAAAAATCAGCTGTTGTCAACTCAGTTGTAAATTTCGATTGTAAACGATTGCATGTATCGAAAATATGTATCGATTCGAGCTTCGTAATCATTTTAACATATAGTCTACAGTCTCTTCCTGTAGCATTTTAGCATTGCAGATACATTAATCCATTCCCACACTTAACACTGCTTACCTTTACTACTTTGATCACCACCCCCTACGTCGTGGACCTGTTTCCCTCTCTTCCCTTGGCATTTTAGGATTGCAGATACTTTAATGTAATTGCCAAAGACAGTTCCCACACTCTGCACTGCTAGCCTTACTACTTCCTTCCCAATTTCCTACGTCATAGACCCGTTTCCTTCCTTTCTCATAGCATTTAAGTAATACAGATACATTTATCTAACTGCCCAAACGGTTCCCCACTCTGCACTGCCAGCCTTACTTTCTTCACCACTTATTACGACGTGGGGCCTGTTTCCTTCCCTTCTCAAGGCATTTTAGGATTGAAGATACATTAATCTAACTGCCACAGGCGGATCTCACACTATGCTCATACTTAAATACTTCCTAAGCCACTTCCTACGTCGTGGACCTGTATTCATCACTTTCCATAGCATTTTAGTATTTTAGATACCTTAATCTAATTGCCACAAACATTCCCACACTCCGTACGGATAGCATTTACTACTTCTTTAACCATTTTCTATGTATTGGACATGTTTCCATCCCTTCTTATAGCATTTCAGCATTGCAGATACATTAATCTAATCGTCATAAACAGTTTCCACACTCCGGACAGCTCGCCTTGACTATACTTCCTTCACCACTTCCTACGTTGCGGACCTGTTTCCCTCCCTTTCCATAGCATTTTAGGATTGCAGATACCTTAATCTAATCACCATAAACAGTCCCCACACTCCAGACAGCTCGCGTTGACTACTTCCTCCACCACTTCCTACTTCGTGGACATGTTTTCCTCCCTTCCAATAGCATTTTAGGATTGTAGATACCTAAACTATATCTAATCATCATAAACAGTTCCCACACTCCGGACTAATTGCCTTTACTACTTCCTTCACCACTTCCTACGTCACAGACCTGTTTCCCTCCCTTCCCATAGCATCATAGGTTTGCAAATACCTTAATCTAATGGCCACAAACAGATCCTACACCCCGAACAGCTCGCCTTTACCTACTCCTTCACCCCTTTCTACGTCGCAGACATGTTTCCTTCTCTTCCAATAGCATAATATGATTGCAGATACCTTAATCTAATCGTTATAAACAGTTCCCACACTCCGGACAGTTCGCCTTAACTACTTCCTTCACCACTTCCTACGTCGCGGACCTGTTTTCCTCCCTTCCCGTAGCATTATAGGATTGCAGATACCTTAATCTAATCGTCATAAACAGTTGCCACACTCCGAACAACTCGCCTTAACTACTTCCTTCTCCACTTCCTACGTCGCGGACCTGTTACCCTCCCTTCCTATTGCATTTTAAGATTGCAGATACCTTAATCTAATAGTCATAAATAGATCCCACAGTCTGGACTGCTTGCCTTTACTACTTCCTTCACTACTTCCTACGTCGCGGACCTGTTTCCTTCTCTTCCAATAGCATAATATGATTGCAGATTCCTTAATCTAATCGTCATAAACAGTTCCCACACTCCGGACAGTTCGCCTTGACTACTTCCTTCACCACTTCCTACGTTGCGGACCTGTTTTCCTCCCTTCCCATAGAAATTTAGGAATGCAGATACAGTACTTTAATCTAATCGTCATTAACAGTTTCCACACTCCAGACTGCTCACCTTTACTACTTCCTTCACCACTTGATTCGTCACGGACCACCTCGACCTAAAGCTAGTGTCGTCATTTGATTATATTTATGATCCATACCGTTTCTGTTCTAATATCTGTGGAATAATGCTATCAGCTATTTCTTTATCTACTGCATTCAAAAGTCAACAGCTGATCATATGTTTTTGTTTATGTGTCAAATACCGCTTCCATAAGGATTACATTGAAACTTTGAGACCCAGTGGGGCGGATTCCTGAGAGACTTTTTTAACGCCATATAGATGTTGGCACTCACCGATATGGTCTTTATCACCATGCAAAATTTGAAAACGATTGATTCAGCCGTCTAGGAGGAGTTT